TTTTAGTACTTTTCTGTCCCTGGTTAATTGACCATTGGCAGGGGAGTTGTTTTCAATCCGTTCCAAGTATTGTGGTTTTTCTTGGAACAGGGCCTAGGGCTCGGTCAGTCCTATAGAGGTTTTATCCAAGATGGAGTCACTCAGGTCTCTCAAAAGAACTAGTTTTCTCTAAATGGGCCTTTACTGTTGCTCTTTCGTTATCATTAAAAGGACAGAAAGCATTCAATGAAAGTAAGGTTTTAGGGGTTCTTTGTTTTGAGACAGGGTCTCAGTATAGAGTTACCAGCCTCTGATTCCCAAGTGCTGGGATTAAAGATGTATGCCACCATACTCGGCCAACAACAAAACTGGTATGAATCCTTATTCACAGGCAACTACGCTTATTACAGCACTGGCGGGGCCTCTGATAATACTCTTGATTGTCCTTATATGCAGACCATGTCTGATAAACGCCCTCCTCAGGTTTATACGGACCCAATTGCAGACCATCCAATTGATGGTCCTCCGCACTCAGTACAGTCCTGTAGCCCAGGAAGGTCCTTTACCCCAGACAACTGCTTGCTAACGGCATAACATCTAGCTTCTGTACAATCGCTTGCTTGCTATGGCTTAAAGACTAAATGCATCGTCCAACTGCTTCTTTCTGCTTCTGTAATTTGCTTGGCTTAAAGATTTAACCCTTGCCATAACTCTAGGGGGGAATGAAGAGTCAAAACGCAAGAGTCAGAATGTTCTGACTCCATTTTGGCTAGCTGTTTCATGCAAGCCCAGACAAGCCCAGGCATGTTGTAAATTCCCCCCCACCAAGGGAAAATAACCTAAACAATATTCTGTCTTTCTTGGTAGTATGCTGAAATAACAATGATCAGAAAGCCCTTTACTGTCAAGGTCTCTATACCTCTGTTAAGAAAATGACTAACAATTGCTAGTTTTGGCTTCTGTAAACTTGCTTATTGCTGCATTTAAGGGTCAGTGTGACCTCATTGTCCTTGCAACTGCCAATACCACAGGAATGAAGCAGCTTGTAGCTTCTGCCTTTAAGACTCCTTTCCCCCCACAGCTTCATTGCAGACCCTTATCTGGCTCTGGAGGCTGTCAGTTTTGCTGCAGCAAATAAATTTGGCTAATTAAAATCTGAATTAATCTGAATTGGGTCTGGTGGTCTTTTCCCAGTGGTCTCAAACTCCCTAACTGCCAGATGAGGGGGTTATTTGGCAGGTGGTAGCTACAAAAGCTTGTGAGCCGGAAATTGGTAAAACTGTATTGAACAGCCAAAAGTAGCATAAAATGGAGAAGCTAGGAATAGTTCATTAGGAAATCATTAGATTACAATTTAGGAAAAAAGGATCAAAATAGAAGAGTGAAGAGGATTTGTGCTCTCCTTCTTGTGTAGTCATTGGTACCATTGAGAGGTCTCACTCTGTAACACAGCCTGACTTGTAACCCACTGTGTAGCTCAGGCTGACCTCAACTCACAATACTCCTGAGCCTTCCAAGTGCTGGAATTGCAAGTGTGCACCACTGCACTTGGTTGCCATAGGGTTTTTTAGGGAACTTTTACAAACAGTCTCCTCAACCCCCTCACTTTGAGAATAAAAGATATAGGGCAGACAAGATTTTCAATTGATTCTGATTGATTCTTTTTTAGGGAAGAGTAAGATAAAACGAAATGATCAGATCAATAATTTCATATTGTGGTAAGACATAATAAAACGAGTAGGATGAGTACTCAAAGAAGGATACTCTGAAATGATGACACTTAAGCTGACTTAAAGGATGAGAGGGGCCATTAAGTGGACAGGTCACAATTCATCATAAGGTAAAGGACTCCGACTATAAAGAGCACCAGGAAATCACTAAAGTTTAGCGTCTATAATGTTTTAAGTTAGAGAAAGATGATTTTATATATATATATATCTTTTTGAGACAGGATCTCCCTGTAGCCCCAGCTGGCCTGGAACTATGTAGATCAGGCTGGCCTTGAACTCAGAGAGATCCACCTGCCTCTGCCTCCCCAGTGCTGGGACTAAAGGCATGCACCACCACACCGGCCTGATTTATATTTTAAGATCACTTTTTATTTCTTTTTCTTTTCTTTTTTTTTTGGTCTTTTTGAAACAGGGTCTCCCTGTAGCCCCAGTTGGCCTGGAACTATGAAGACCAGACTAGCCTTGAACTCAGAGAGATCCTTCTGCCTCTGCCTCCCCAGTGCTGGGACTAAAGGCATGAGTCACCACACTCAGCTTATTTCTTTTTTTAAAAAAGATCACCCACATGGCGGCTAACAACCATCCATAACTCCAGTTCCAAAGGATCCGACACCCTCCTCTGACCTCCTTGGGCATTGTACAATATGGATGCACTCACATACATGCAGGCAGTAAAACCCATACACATACAAGTGCAACTGACCATGACTAGTAATGACCAGATACATACAGATTAGAGATGCATGCGCCAACATCTAAGTGTTATTAGCAAAAATAAGTCTTTCTGTAAGAAACAGTATATTTTAAAATGAAATGGACACCTTTTTTTAAAGGTTAAAAACTCATTCAATTTTATGTCTTACAAGGTTTATACTGAGTTCAATATTGTATAACTGTATTAATTCAACTGTGAACCTAAAAATTTTATAGCCACTTTTGAAAGAGATGTATCTTTGCTCTGGAAATTGTTATTGAGTATGTTAAAGCTGTAATGAAATGCTTCTTCTAAAAAATAAAATCTAAAAAAATTTTAAAAAATAAAAATAATTTTAAAAAAGATCACTCTTGATGGGGCTGGAGAGATGGCTCGCATGGTTAGGAGCACTGACTGTTCTTGCAGAGGGCCCAAGTTTGATTCCCAGCACCTACATGACCACTGGCAACCTACCCTAACTCTAGTTCCAGGGGACACCCTCTTCTGCCCTCCATGGACATTGGTGCACTCACATATATGTAGGCAATACACTCATACACATAAAATAAATATTTTTAAAAGATCACAGTTGCTGCAGTTTGAAAAACTGCCAAAGTATGTAACTGAAGGTGTAACCTAGGATTTCAGTTAGAAGGCAACTAGAGTTACTAAGATGAGAGATGCTGGATATGGTGGCACTCTCACCTTTGATCCTGGCACTCAGGAGGCAGGCAGAAGTGGGTGGATTTTTGTGAGTTCAAAGCCAGCTTAGTCTACATAATGAGTTCCCGGCCAGTCAGGAGCTACAAAGTAAAACCCTGTCTCAAAAAAAAAAAAAAAAAAGGTGTCATGGTCTAGGTAAGGACTAGAAGGTTCCTTGAGAGACTTAATGAGAAGGCTCAATAGGTGAAATATTTGCTATGCAAGCACACAGACCTAAATTTAGATCTCCAGCACCCATGTAAAAGCCAGGTACAAATTGTACACATTTGTAACTAGGGGGACAGAGATGGGGGACCCACAGAGCTCCCTGTCCAGTCTAGTCAATCAGTGAGTAGACTGTCTCAAAAGATAAGGTACAGAGAAATTGATGAAAACACCCAGTAACAATCTCTAGCTTTTACATACACACATACACATACACCAAAAAGAAAAATGACCCTGTCCTCCAGTATTGTTTCAAAAGAAGATCCTCTATCATTGTGCTGTAAAAATCTCAAATGGCCTCGTCTTAAGGTATAGGTTTTTCTGGGGGGAAAAAATGACTCCTCCCAAATAAACAAGCTATTAAATCGTTGTCAATTGCAGGTATCAGAATATACCATTTTTTGTTTTAGACAGGGCCTCTTTATGGAGCCCAGGTTATAGAAATACAAGCATACGGCACCACACCTTACTTAACACACCTTCTTAACTACCATCCTTAATGTATAACTAATTTCAAAATATATTTTTCTTTCTCTTTTTAGGGAAGGGAGCAGGATCCTTCCAAAATGGCATGGGGTCTGAAAACCAGGGAAAAAAAAAAGAGGGGGGTGAGGGGGAGGGCATTAGCACTCTACAATTTCCAAACAAGCCAGATGTAGAGGTGATCTCTTTGAGACTGAGGTCAGCTTGGTCTACATAGTGAGTTCCAGGCCAGCTGGGGCTTCAGGGAGACCCTGTGGAAGGAAGGGAGGAAGGGATGGAAGGGAGGGAGGTAAGGAACGGAGGGAGGGAAGGGAGGGCAAGTAGAAAGGCCTGTGACATTAATGAGATTGCCAGGCTTAGCAAGAGACCTAGTCTAGGAGCTGGGGCAGCAAGGAATGTCATTGAAACCTACAGAATACCCAAGATACGTCTTTTAGACAGGGCCTCACTGTAGCCCGAGCTGGCCTGGAACTCACTATGTAGACCAGGCTGGCCTCCATCTCAGTGATCCACCTGCCTCTGCCTCCCGAGTGCTGGGTGCACCACCATGCCCGAGTCATGACAAATGCCGTCACTTCTGCAGTGTTGACAAGCAGAGAAAGCTGTCATGCTACAACTGGATTTATTTCTCCTAGTGGCTTCATACGAGCTATAAAAATGCTACTTCTGGCCGGGCGTGGTGGTGCACGCCTTTAATCCCACCACTCGGGAGGCGGAGGCAGGCGGATGTCTCAAAGACCAAAAAAAAAAAAAAAGCCACTTCTGGTGAAGTCTGGCAGAAATACTGGTTTAAGCCGGAATGGAATACATCCAGGAGAGACCTAACAGAGAATTCCAAAGCCTGACAACGAAGTTCCTCAGTTAGCGGCCCCGCCGGAGGCACGTCCCTTCACCCAGAGGATTAATGTGTCTGGGAAGTCGGGCTGACTTCTTGCTCGGTTCTTCAAGCTGCTGCACACGGCGCCATACTTATCCAGAGCTTATCAACAACTGAAAAGCAACTTCCGGCCGGTCAGCGCGGATAAAGAAAACGCCACAGGCAAACCGGAAACAAGCAAGAAAAAGCGCACTTCAAAAAAAAAAAAAAAATCACCTTACACGTCGTATCCGGTTGTCTGAGCCACCGCGTCCACGTCAACGGAAGTTGCGGATGTGACCAGGCTGAGCATCCGGTCGGCAGCGTGTCTCCCAGCAGCCAATGGGCTCTGCCCACCTCTCGCCCCAGTCGCGGGAGGCCTGTGACGTCAAGGGCGGGGCGGGAGGCGAGGTCCGGAAGTCCGAGAGGGATTGGCCTCTCTGGGGCTCGAGTTGGGAGCCGAGGGAAGATGGTTTACATCTCGAACGGTGAGTGCGGGCTTGGCGCTGGGGCTGCTCCGGCCCTGCCCTCCAGCCCCGCGGCTCCGGACGGGAGTGCCTACGGCCCTGAGGAGCGGGAGGCCAAGCCGCGGGCCGGAGG